AAAAGTTTTTCGCAATTAAAATAGAACAAAGTCACAATAACATTAAAATGACTATTTCGAAATCATCAGTTGATTTTAATGTATTCTCGGGGATGGCAAGTAAACGGCTCATAGATACCGAGTCATTCCTGTTCAAACATGTCTGCGACCAACATTTCGTTCAAAACATGCGTGTATCTCGTTCCTATACTAATCACGCCATCTCGACCCCCCTTACTCGAAAAGTTGACGATCGCGAAAAGTTGACACATTTCGCGTACGAGAAGTCAGTTCGCTTCTCGATCCCGATCAATACGAATTATCTATTCATTCATAACGTTTTTTTCCCGAATCTTTCATTCAACGTTTCTTCCCGAATCTAAAGTAACATTTCTTCCCGAATCACATCGACGTTTTATCGCGTATTACCACTGCATTTTTGTCACCTAATGTTCTTCTCGGTATACGCGTACCGCGAGGGCATCAGTGCGCGAGAATTGCCTACGTTTCCAGCGAGATTTGCCGGTCTCGTTACCGCTCGCAATATACTTTCTTTCGAACGGCTGTAAGAAATTACTCGACGTCACACCAAGTGCGAATTATCTGGACACGCATCTTATCGAACAATTATCGAATTACGAGCATTGCTTACTGTCCGCTTTGAACAAATCTTAATTCGACTTAACAATAAATTTCAAATTGTTACCACAAAGAGAGTCATTATTATTACACGCTTGGCGAGCGAGCATACAAGGTGACACCAGCGTCACAAATACACAACAATGACGTTAAACTGAATTGTGATTAATAAAAAAATAACTTTTAATAAACATTTTGGAACCATTTTAAATGATGATTTTTTTGTTCTGTTTAAATATATTTTTCAATTTATTGCATAAATTTTACAAATATTTCTGTTAAAACATTTTATATGACATTCCTTTCAGAATTGTTGCACACGAGATATGAAAGATTGAAACATTTCTAAAAATATTCCGCAATAATTGATGCTATATGAGTTATTGCATTGATTCAGAGCAGCAATAAAAAACAGATCTTATTATTCCTAATAGCTCCTGCACAATGAACGTGGAAACATTTGCCGCGCGCAATCGAAGTGTGCAAAAGCCATAATATTAATGGAAATAATTAATCATATAACGTATAATTGACGTACGTTTCTACATGTAACAGCAATTCATTACGCAAAATTTTTAATTTTTTAGTTTTTTAACGTCTTTGTAACAATGCTGCAAGATTTATAAAATCTTGGAATTATTAGCTTATTAATTACTTCATCACATTTGCCATGCGGCAAGTATTTTCGCGTTCAATGTGCGGGAGCCATTAGGAATTATAGTTCGTTAAAACATTTGTTGTCACTGCGTGACAAGATTTTTTAAACTTTATAATTAATTCTCATAATTTTCTGGATTTAAAAAATTATTTGAATATTGCAAAAAAATGAAATAGGATGCGTAGAGTTTTTTATTTCCATTTCGTTAGTTAAGAATATGTACCGTGCTTCAAATTCTTACAAGAAGAATTCTTGTAAAATCTTCCAAGAAAATTTTCACATACGAATTTCAGAAAGGAGCATACAAGATCATGTAAGAATATATCGTATATGATACTTATAGGTATATGATACTTATAAATCAAGAATCTTACATGAATCTTCCTATACAGCATGTAATATTGTAATAATCTTGCAGTAATATTACAAATTTGCTGTAATATAATTGCATGATAATATGTCAGTAATATTGTATAAATATTGCTGCAATATTAAATGTCCGCGATAAATTCATTGCAATAATATTTTTGCAATAAAAATATTGCAAATATTGTAATATTAGGCAATATTTCTACATATTATGCTAATATTTTGCAATATTGCGATAGTATTTCTATGTACTGTAGTAATATTGCAGTAATATTACTAGTATAAATATTGCTATAATAATAAATGTCCGCAAAAAATTTATCGCAGTAATATTTCTGCGATATTTCTGCCTTATTGCTGCAATATTATGGTATATTACAATAATTAATCCAGTTTTATTAATTGCTAAAATATTATTGCTTAATATTATACTCTAAAGTACGTAATGTACGTGAAGTCATGATAAAAATACATTCGGAAGTCTAGAAAACTCCCAAAAAAAGGAATTTCTAGGAGACACATCAACTCGATTTGCGTATTTCTTCTTATAGGACTACGTTTTCTTCTTCTGGATGAGCGAATTCCTCTTGTGGCTGGATCGCATACTTACTTTCAACATGAAATATTACAGCATATTTCAATATGCTGTATATTTCAGCAATATTTCAATAAGGAACAATATTACAAAAATTGCAATTGATATTGCTGCACTATTAAAATTATAATATTTTGTTGGAAATATTGCTGCAAAATATTGTAATTTTAATTTTGTAGAAAATATTGCAATATGTTACAAAATTATAATTCATTAAATAGGTATGCAGCTCTATTACGAAAGGGATACGCTTTTTATAAGGAGAAAATGTCCAGAAGTTCTATAAGAAGGAATACACAAATACTCTTTCTTATATGGTAAGTCGAGTAGGCGAGTCTCCTGGAGATTCCCAAATCTTTTTGGATGCTTTCTGAGTCCCCGAATATTTTTCGATTATAACTTTATCGTATTTTGGAATTATCGTATTTGGAATGTTAAGCAATAATATGTAATTAGGTAATAAAAGTGGAATAATTATTGAAATATTGCATAATTTTGAAGCAACATATAAATAATATTTCTCTAAATATAATCTATTGAATTGTAACATTGCAACAGTAAATTGCAATATTTTCTATAGAATATTTAAATTTTTTAATACTGTTATAATATATCGAATAAAATAAAAAAATTTTAATATTACAGCATTATTACTGCAATTTTTGTAATATTATTCACATTAAAATATTGTTACAATATTTCGTACTGTAGGTAGTCATATTTTTACCTTTATATCAAAACCTCATAACACAAAAAAGAGTTTAAATTTCTAAAGAGATACTGAATTTTTAGACCATGCCTATACGTCAATTCTGAATATTATTTAAAAATTAATGTATACAAGTATACTTTCGATTGTTTCGGGTCGGTTTGTATCGGTGGCGACACATGTTATTTATTTCTGTGTAATCGAAGAGTGAACAACTTATATTTCATTCTTTTTTTACGAAAAAATTTATTTGGATCACTCTTGTTACTTCATCTAATTATTAAATGTATTATATTCAATTGGTTGACTACTGTGTTTGTACACACATTTACATCAATTCGTTGTTGAGTATCAATCTGCTTTCTCCTTGTTATTTCTTTTCAAAAATAATTTCACATTTATATTTGTGACATTCTCATTTTTACTATAGCTTTACTTTATAAGAATTACTTGTTTCTTTCTGGTCAGTAAACTGAACTGAAGCTAAAGAATCTCTTTGTGATGTTGGATAGTTTGCACCATGGTTGATGTTATTTGTACCGAATTGAATTATATTAATTTCGTTGAGAATGATTTGAAGTAAGTCGAAACGCGTACGAATTTTATACTAATTTTTTATACTTTATATTAAAAATGGACTTATAAATATTTCCACTGTTATACTTGCGCACCGAGTACCGCGCTGATTCCTACTTCCCCTTACATTCTAGTCTTTAAATTGTTTAATATTATATAATTTTAGTAAAATATTTTTAAAATGTTACATTTAATATTGTAAATAAGAGAATATTACTTAATATTAAATAATAATATTATGCGCTTATAGGGATATAAGAGTGCGCGTGTTGTGTATAAGTTTTTATGATTATTATTTCACATAATATCTCTTTAATTTTAAAGAGAGAGTTGAGATATTTTTATTTTCAAATGTATGTATTATACATTGGATAATAATTTAATTGTTATTGACTAAACATAAATCGCATTTTATAGAGAACTCCGTTCACATCGAAGAGGAGGTAACCATTATGAAAAAAAGAAGCTTATAATATATTCGAGCTATGCATGGGGAGTTACCATCATTCTCAATGTTATCTGCGTCATCATGGATAATATTCCCAATCCACCAGAAAATTTGATTCGACCAGAAATTTGCAAAAAAAGATTTTGGTTCGGTGGTAAGTGATATCGGCAAATATGAATGCTAGTAGAAAATTAATATTTAATTGAAATTTTGATTAAAGAGTACCAATTTTCAAGAGTTTTTACGATCATGGACACTGGGGATCATTTTATTTCTATGTTTTCTTATGTATTTTTTTTCGTAGATATCAAAAACAATCATATAATAACGTCAGATTTAAAGAAAAATTGGTACAATGAAATAAAATGAATAAAGCCCTTATCATTATAAAATCACTATCAGTTATGCCTTATTGATATAAAAATTGATTCCAAATTGGATTAAAGTAATAATGCACCACGAAACATTAATTAGATTATATTTTTTATTAGGACATTTGTATAAAAAAATTAATAATCTCATGAAAAATCTGAAAACTTGAAACTACGATAATACATCAATTATTGCTTTCCAACTAGAATTTATTTACACTTCAGCATATATCAAGAAGGGGACTTGGTTTACAAAAATATTTAATTCATTCATACTTACACTCCTCTCCCGTCTTTATCTTACAACTAAAAATCTAAACTATTACTATATATACATTCTCTTTTATCTATACTCTCTATATCACAGCCCTATTACAGTCTATTAATGTCTACATTCCATTTCTTATTTCCTTTTATCTCTACCTAGCATTTCTTTACCTGTACTTATCTCCCTATCTTCTCTTATATTCTTTAACTGTACGTTCTATCAACATGCTTTCCAATTAATTGTCTTTACGAATCATTTCGTATTTTTAAATTCGATTTATATCGATTGTAATATATTGATAATTGATAACGAAAAAATTCTCTTATTTAAAAAACAATGATAAATGATGAGATACTCTCTTTTTTTTTATTCGAATTTGGGACCGAAAGTGATAAAGTTCACATCCTCTATTTACATATTTACACACACACACACACACACACACACACACACACACACACACACACACGCGCGCGCGCGCACGCACGCACACGCACGCACACGCACGCACATAAATATAGGCTGTTTGATAAGTAAAAAAATCTCGCAATACAATTTTTAATAGTTAACAAGATATTAATTACTAAAAATTATCGTCGAATATTAGTTTTCAATAATTGTTTACTTAAATACTCACAATACACTACAAATCAACTTTACAGAAAAACAGCAAGTGACAAAAATTATTTATTTTTTTCTTATAAAATTCTGAGAACTTTTTCCTGAGAATTTTTTATCAATTTTTTAATACTGCATTTTCTTATTGGCAAGTATTTTTCCAATATGAGAAAATATAATATTAAAAATAATATTAATATTAATTTCTATAATTAACTTCTACTTAATAAAAAATTATTTATATAATGTCCAATATTTTGGAATAAAATCAGTATTTTTATATAATGATGATTTTTAGTAATTCATATCTTGTTTAATCTTCTGACGATCGGCATGTTTTTAATCGACTTTTTTATCTTAAGGGGTAGAAGGGCTTTTTTGGCTCAATATCATAGGATTGAGTGGCGAAAAAGGTAGCGGCTATCGAAGATGTTTAAAGAGGCCTTCAATCTTCTAAACGTTAATTATTGCGAAAATTGCAAAATGGTAGAGGATTTTTCGACTCAATTTAGTCCGCTTTATTCCTCGCTGGTGAACATTTTTCTTAAAATTTTTATACAAATTAGAACATTTTTCAGAAATACTCAGAAATAGTCGGAAAGTTCACATCTTCTTTCAGAATTTTTCATACATGTGAATTCTGATAAATATTTTGAGATTTTTCATCCCATAATGTTTAAAGAATATTTAGAAATTTTATAGATTTTATAATATTTCATCAGAAATTATACTTACAAAAAATCTTAGAAATCTTACGACATTCCATTAATATAATATAATTAATATATATTA